ATTGAAACCAGTAGTGTACTAAACAAAACAAGATTTACAAGCATTGAAACCAGTAGTGTACTAAACAAAACAAGATTCACAAACATTGAAGCCAGTAGTGTACTAAACAAAACAAGATTTACAAACATTGAAACCAGTAGTGTACTAAACAAAACAAGATTCACAAACATTGAAACCAGTTTAGTGTACTAAACAAAACAAGATTCACAAGCATTGAAACCAGTAGTGTACTAAACAAAAAAAGATTCACAAACATTGAAACCAGTAGTGTACTAAACAAAACAAGATTCACAAACATTGAAACCAGTAGTGTACTAAAGAAAACAAGATTCACAAACATTGAAACCAGTTTAGTGTACTAAACAAAACAAGATTTACAAACATTGAAACCAGTAGTGTACTAAACAAAACAAGATTCACAAGCATTGAAACCAGTAGTGTACTAAGAAAACAAGATTCACAAACATTGAAACCAGTTTAGTGTACTAAACAAAACAAGATTTACAAACATTGAAACCAGTAGTGTACTAAACAAAACAAGATTCACAAGCATTGAAACCAGTAGTGTACTAAACAAAACAAGATTCACAAAAAGTTTTTTGGTTAAATTTATTTACCTTAACCAAATAGCAATCCAACTGGGAACATCAAAAACCTGAATTTTTTGTTTAATTATTTTAAGTTCATATCAAATGTCAAATTCAAAAATATGAACTTACTAGCTGAGGGGCCCGGCGTTGCCCGTGCAAATTTTTTTTAAATGTTGAAAAAAAATTAAAAATTTTTTTTTGCCTTCAACACATACCCCCAAACAAAAGTTTCAGCCCATTCGGTCCAGCCGTTTGGCCGGCTATAGGCAACATTTATATATACGAATGTCTTGTTTTATTATATAGATTATTTTCAGGCTAAAATATCTACTGAACTTGGAACTTTTAGATGGAGGAGATAAGCGCATTCTCTCCTGACTTGGAGATTAACCAATCTTTAATTAATTAAGCTCTATTGATCTCTCATTGTTTAAAAAGTTATGAGTTTTTAAACTCAAAATCGGATAATCCACGCGCGTGGAGAGAATGAGCTTAACTCCCCATCTATTTAAAAGTTCCCAGCTCAGTGTACCTTTACTATATTTAGTGAGGGAGATGTTTCACCAGGGAACTACGAAATTAAAACTGTGAAAAATATAAACAAAATATTAAAGGACGTGACTGCAAATAACCAAATCTTTCAGTCCAAGATATATATATGGAAGTTTAACTATGAGTATATATTGATTATAATCCGATACCACGGATAACAGTTATCATAAAGCTGATTTCAGGATTCTATGCAAAAATGATGGTGAAAGACACAATTTCAGGGTACCCATGGGTTCCCTAAAAAATCAGCCAATTTGGTCCAGCCGTTTGGCCAGCTGTATAGCTTACGTATATCTATAAATATATATATTTATAGATATATAAATATATATATAAGCGAAGAACTTTATTATATAGATTATTAAATATGAGAATCAATCATTTATCTTAACTTTTGCAGACTTACGAATTAACTTAATTCCTTTTTGAAATCCCGTGGTTATTGTTTACTGAAGGAATAACTAAAATAAAGGTTATCAAGCGTTCATCCTCAAATTAAAAATGTCCATATTGGATATACAGATGAAGCATCAAAGATCAGTAAAACTCCACACAAAAGTTCTTACATCAGAGGCCGAATTTAAAGAATTTGATCTACGGTTTAAATTTAAGTCGCGGCTCAAATATGGTTGGTTCCACTTAAAATCGCATTTAATGTTCAAAATTTAAGCAGACGCTCAATTGAAACCGGTTTTGGGGGATTTGAGACGCGGCTCAAATTCATTAAATTCGGACTCTGGTTTCTTTATTTTCTACTTTTTTATTTTAATCTGCTTAGTGAAGGGTCACCTTAGATACCCAATTACTTATATCATTTCCAACAGGAGAAGAGTAATCGATAAACCGGCTCCTTAAAAACATAGGTATTCAGGGGCGTACACAGGCAATCATAGGGAGGGGGGGGGGCGTCCAGGGTTGTACGATGAAATTAAATCTCATTCATCGGTTACATAAATTTTGTTAGTTGTAATAACTGATTGATTATCTTAAACACGGGGGGGGGGGGGATTTTTTTCAATATTTTTTTATAGTTTACCTTTCCAGTGTGTATGAAATATATGTAACACCAACATCTGCTAATCCATATCCAACCTGGTTTTCATTTTACAGAGTTATAAATTACCAAGGTTAAAAAATACAATTTGGATAAGGAAGTTTTCTCTTTATAAAAAGAAATCATAAGGTAAAAAGTTCTTAGAGTAAATAATCATTTCAGAATAAAGAACATTCTTAGGGTTAATATTATTCTTAAAGAGACAGACCGGCTATGTAAGGTAGTTAAACTGAATATGCAGTGTTGTGCACAAATTCTTTAGGATTCATTTGAGAAAACTTTTTAAAGATCCGTAAATTCTGAGTTTGAGCGCAAAGTCGACGTTCAAAATTGTACTTTTTGGTGGATACGTTTTCAGAATTGCTTTTTTATTATGAAATAACGACGACAAAAAATGTAAACAAAATTCTACAGTAAACTAATTAGTTGTTTAGGAACAGGTTGAGAAAATAAAAATTAATCTTTTCATCAAAATTATTAGTTTCTATTTTCTCATTAATCTAGTTTCTCATTATTCACAAAGATTTTCTGCAGATTTTCTGGAATTATTATTGAAAAGACGACATTTGAAGAATTTATAGAAATTTGCAAATAAATTCACAGAAAATAAGAAATTAAATTTAATGATGAAAACGAAATAATTCATTCCAGCATTAATTTATTGACAAATTTCTTTTGAGAAATATGTTCCTAACCATCTAATTAGTTTAGTGTATAATTTTTATTTTATTTTTCGTCGTCGTTATTCAATAATTAAAAAAACGATTCTGAAAACGTACCCACCCATATTCATGACTATGTACTCAAACTCAGTAATTATACATCGTGGAAACGTTTTATATGTATCAAATGAATCCTAAAGAATTTGTCAACAACACTACTCAGTTTAACTACCTTACACTACCTTACATAGCCGGTCTGTCCCTTACCATGAGGTTAAAAATAATCTCAGTGTAAAGAATTACCTCAGGGTTAAGAATTATCTCAGGGTATAGAATTATCTCAGGGTATAGAATTATCTCAGAGTACAGAATTATCTCAGAGTAGAGAATTATCTCAGAGTACAGAATTATCTCAGGGTAAAGAATTATCTTAGTGTTAAGAATTATCTCAGGGTTTAGAATTATCTCAGAGTACAGAATTATCTCAGAGTAGAGAATTATCTCAGAGTACAGAATTATCTCAGAGTAGAGAATTATCTCAGGGTAAAGAATTATCTCAGGGTAATAGTTTTTTCTTCGCCACAGTTGTATGGATCCCTCTAGAGGTAAAAATAAACATATTAAACAAATATACTTGTCCAACAACCCCGGTCCACAGATTTGTCTCTTGGTCTAAATTTCCCCAGGTAAAGTCAGCATCAGTAAACTCTGTTTTCAAATTTCGTTTTTCTAAATAAAATTAGTTAAACATCTTAGACATTTTCCTCACCACAAGTTTTTTTTTGGGATCATTTTAAGGATCCTATTGAAAGAGGAAAGGTGACCCATTAAAAAATATTTAACTCGTAAAGGAAGTGATTACTCGCCATAAGTTGGAATTTTCTAATCCCTATATCTTTGTAATCTGATGGTCTTAACCTTTGACGTTTTAAACTTTGCCTATTTGATCCGTAGAGAATTATTCACAGATGTAAATTAATAGTTTTATTCTAGCAAAAATCGTGGAAACATGATATTCTGTAAACCTGCCGTATATTGTACATTATTAATGATTTAATGTTGTAAACTTAGACATAATAACATTATTCATTGAAACTGTGTTTCAATTGAATACTTAGCATGATTAGCTTTAATCATGCGACATACTTAAATTATGCTATAAACATGTGCAGAGATTGCTTTACTGCGTTATATCTATTCTCTCTAATCTTATGAATACGTACAGTAAACTTTAACTGTGCATTAAATACATAATACGATTGTCTTAATCATGTGATATAGTTCATCGTAGGAATTGTAATTATGTAAATTCATGTTAACTTGTGACATAAGATATTTAATAAAGTTCAGTTTATAGAGTAACTCTGTACTGTTTACTGTGTGAAAGTAAACCTGAAGCCCTGTTATTATTTTCATGTGGGATCGTCCTTTTTACTTTAGGATCGATATATAGCTAGGCTTCTGTGGCATTTAGAGTATTGGATCGTCCCCATCATTTGGGATCGATATATAGCTTGTTGTATAGCTAGACTTGTGTCCCTGTGTGACATTAAGAGCACCGGATCATCCCCATCATTTGGGATTGATATATAGCTTTTTGTATAGCTAGGCATGTGTGACATTTAGAGCATTGGATCGTCCACATCATTTGGTATCGATATAGATAGCTTATTGATATCTAAGCTTGTGCCCCTGTGCCTGGGATTCAGTCCTAGTGGAGTTTAATAGCGGACGGATTGTACCTGGATAGATACGTACGAGAACTTGTTATGGAGTAGGTATTTACTACATTATGACATCAATTTACAAACATACAGAAAATTTTAATATTAGAGTTTGAGGCAGGTGTTCAGTTCCTTTAAAGGAATTGAGTCTTTGCCACAAACTCTGATTTTCTAATCGCTATATTTTAACAACCCAATGTTGTATCCCTTAGATATTTCAAACTATGGATTTGGTTAGATCAGATGATCTAAGTTTGAAATATCAAAGGTTTACGTCTTCAGATTGCAAAGATATTGGAATTTAAAAATTTGAGTTTGTGCCAAAGACTCAATTTCTTTGCCAGGTTTAGAGTATTTTTCTTCAATTTTAAAAATACCAAATTTATCACACGGGGCATGTGATAGCTTAGTTACCTATGTATGAATTGATGATTAAACCTTCAAAAGTTTTGTCGTCAATATTTTCATTTTCATAGAAGAATCTTGGTCTGTAGTTATTATATGTTATCCTGCAACAAAATTTCAAGCGAACAAAAGATGTTTAAACCCCCTGAAAACTGAGTCTTTGCAAAAAACTCTAATTTGTAATCCCTATATCTATTTCATTGTAACTGATTACATCAAATAGTCTAGTTTTAAATAACAAATAACAAAATTACACAATCAGGTTGCAAAGAAATAGGGGTTATAAAATTTGAGTTTGTGGCAAAGACCCAGTTCCTTTGATTACCTGAGGGTTTCTTCATAAAATGAATTCAGATCTTTAAAATCAGCCTTCTTATCAAAAATAATTGAAGAGTAGAAGGATGACCAAATACATGAAAATTGTTTCCCGTGAATGTTCCTAACAAAATATATACACAGGGTGTACCAAAATATATACACAGGGTGTACCAAAAATATATACAAAATATATACACAGGGTGTACCAAAAAAAACGCTCTTTTAGACATCGTAACATTCACCATTTAACATTTTTTAAATCTATAAAACAATTCCGATCGATTGATATCAATAAAAGGTATGTCAAATTTGAAACTATATTTAGTTCTTCAAATTTTCTGTTACATACCTTTTATTGATATTAATCAAGTTTCCAATGGTGAACAAGATTTCACGAAGTTCTAATTTTTCTTGTTTATTTATCAAGTTGCTACTTGTAATACATGTAATGGTGTATATGTACTGCAGGTATTATGTCACACTTTATGAATCCCAAAATATATAATCATTCATGAATCATGAACCACGAAATTCATGACTAAAATGATAATAATATTACAATAAAAACAAATATCAACGAAAGTCTTGCGATTACTTAACTGTGTCCGGCCGGCCTTCAAAATTAACGGAGTTATCTAATTATTTGTATAATTCAAATCTTTCTTAAATGAAATTGGGACACCGGCCCTGTACACAGTGTACATATCTATTTTTTGATAAAGATGATTGCAGTACACATATTGGATTACCTATAAACAATCTTGGGAGATAACTTAGACACATACACATAGGGGCCGTCTGATTTGAGAACATTAGTTTGAACTAATTCTTCATTTGATTTAAAAAAAATATATATTCGATTTTTGTTTTGTTTTTGGAGCTAATTATATTAATGTTTTTATTCCTATATTTATGTGATCATTTGATACTTCATTATCAATCACAATGTATAATTTAGGACTGTATCCGCTAATTTTTATGTTGGATATTTTTCCCAAATCTTCAACGTTTCTCTGAAATTTAACATCAATGCTTTTTTATAATCAATATGAAACATTTGCTAATTTCTGATAATTAGGAACTGCCAACCAAATTTCAAGTAACCAGTTTTTTCAAGGTAATCAAGAAGCTATGATATTTTTTTCAACATAATCAAGAAGCGATGATATTTTTTCAACGTAATCAAGAAGCGATGAGTAATCAAGAAGCTATGATATTTTTTCAACGTAATCAAGAAGCGATGACATTTTTTCAACGTAATCAAGAAGCGATGATATTTTTTTCAACGTAATCAAGAAGCGATGATATTTTTTTCAACGTTATCAAGAAGCGATGATATTTTTTTAACGTAATCAAGAAGCGATGATATTTTTTTCAACGTAATCAAGAAGCGATGATATTTTTTTCTCTATGTAAAAATTGACAACTGCATAATGCACCTTTGATAGAAAGACATACTGGACAATTGCAGAGAAGACAAGATCAAAAAAGGCCGATATTTTTCCAATTCCAGATACGTACGTTTGTGGATTGTCATTGGTAATTTTTAATATGGTTACTTAAAATTACGTTGACAATTCCTTTTACATAACTTTAGTTCAAGTAGAAAAGATAAAGGAGCTAAAAACTTGCCTCAAACTCGAAATTTATGATCCATATATCTTTACAACATGATGGTGTAAACCTTATATATTTCAAGCTTTTACGAAATGATCTAGCAGATTTCAAAGTTTAAATATCAGAGGTCAAATCTTTTGAGTTGAATATATAAATAGTTAAATAGATATAAGATTATAAAAATTACAGTTTGAATAGTTGTTGAATTCCTTTGAACCTTATAAACTATTAGAAGGATGCATGAAGAAGGAGTTATAACAGTATTAGAAATACTCTCCAATGTACTCCAGTCTTCCACAACTAGTTTCTCATTTCCATTTTTAGACCCGTCAATTCCACTTTATATATATTTGGTGTTGGTACATTTTATTGAAACTTTTCTCATAGATGGACATTTCATTGATAGGTCATTTCATAGATAGTTCATTTTATAGATAGGTCATTTTATAGATAGTTCATTTTATAGATAGGTCATTTTATAGATAGGTCATTTCATAGATAGTTCATTTTATAGATAGTTCATTTTATAGATAGTTTATTCTATAGATAGGTAATTTAACAGATAGGTCATTTTTCAGAAAGGTCATTTCATAGATAGGTCATTTCATAGATAGGTCATTTTATAGATAGGACATTTCATAGATTCATAGATAGGTCATTTCATTGTTAGGTCAATTCATAGGTAGGTCATTGCATAGATTCATGATAGGTAATTTCATAGACCAGACATTTCATAGAAAATTCATATCATAAATAGGTCATTTCATAGATAAATCATTTCACAAACAAGACAATTCATAGAAAGACATTTCAAGGACAGGAAAAAATTATCTTTCTTTCATCGGAAAACTAACCGTGAAATGTGTATACTATTTGGACAATGATAATTTTTGAAATTTGAAATAATTCACCTTGGTTTTAAAAAATCTTCTTTGTTTCTAAACTGCACTATCTGTGAAATGTCTTGTCTTTGAGTTGTCTTGTCTATTGAATTAATTCTATGAAATGTCCGTCCCTGAAATATCCAGTCAATAAAAATGTCCATCTATGTTTCAAATATAATGTTTATTGATCAAATGTATCTAACTAAGTTAACAAATGTAGATTACACTGCAAACTTTAGACATGAGGAGAACGTCAAATTTTTCCGACAATACTGATACAACTTTGTGACCTCGTAGCTCCTCTAGATATGATTCTACCCCCCAAGAACGGAAAAGCGAATTTTTTGAGTTACATTATTACGTATCAGAAATTCAAAACATTTTTCTTCTGCTCAAAAGCTCTTCAATGAGAGGAATAATTATATATCAGAATTCAATATTTACTGTATGTAGATTAACCTGATAACAACAAAAGTTACAAGATGGGTTGTTTAGAGGTGTGAGGGAAACCGATTTTTTATAGTTTTAACCTGGTCTAAGATTCTGGATGTCAGAATTCGAACTTAGTTTTAAAGAGATCTGGGGCAAGATTCAATGAATAGCAAGAATTAGCTGAACCCCTCACGTGTAGTTCAATCTCTTCTCTTATGCACTGGTTCAAGCTGAAGAGCAGTGGTTGAACCACTTCTACGTGGTTCAACCATGTCTTACGACCAGGCTTGAAATAAGACCATTGATGATGTTATTTATTTATTTAATTGATAGTAGTATTAACATATAAATGTTACAGCCTACAGGTATATATAATATACTGATTGGTGTTAATGTAATGTGGAAACTCAGTGTTAATGTTAATTATATACTAGAATTTACACTAACAATTAATCAAATAATCAATGGTCTCATGTACAGCCTCTATAATGTGTCTTACTGTTCATTAAATCTGGTCCCAGCCTTTATTACTGTGAATTTTCATGCATTTACTTTGTTACATTTATAAACGATTTTATTGCATTAAAAATTTTATATTTTTCAATTTTTTATTATAATTTGCTAAGAAACCGAAAACTACCTATTTCCAACATATATTTCGAGACAGCGTTCATTTCTCACTTGGCTAAGATGACAAAATAACTTTCTTAATACTGGGTATTTTCCCACGAAACATGACAGTGCAAGGCGACTTGAAAGTCGTCTTAATCTAAGAATATATCTGTGACATATCTAGCCATCAACCTACTTTAACATGTATGATTGTTAAAACAATAACCACAAAATTCTCATAATTCTGGCATTTCTTAAATGTGGTCTGCCTTTTTTGTGCTGTCAATATAAATGGAGATATTAAGAATTTTGTTCAGTTTCAATTTTGTTAATCAAAACCAAAATTATTGAAATCTGATCGAATTTCTTCATATCTCCAGTAATATTGAAAGCACAAAAAATGCAGACCACATTTTAGAAATTTGTGATTATTATCTCTATAATGTTACTTCTAAAATTAAGTTGACGAATAAATGCAGCAAATAATATCAAAAAGAAAAGACGAAGTTCAAGTCGTCTTGCTACTGTCATGTTTAGTGGGACACCCTGTATATTCAAGGACCAAATATTTCTAACATTTCTTTTCTTAAAAAACTAAACTTACATATCAAATTTAAAATAGGTTTAATTAAACTTGTTATTCTGTCCCTGGTGAACCACGATATTATTTGATCAAGATTATTCAGTCCTCTACAGTTTACACAGTAAATCACAACAGAGAAAACAAAGAGATGAGGAAATGTCGTCTTCATCTACAAATATTACATACTTCGATATAAAGTCTCTTCGTTTAAAATATGACAGAGAGAAAGTGCAGGAAACCAATAAAAGTGGAGAAAAGACTGAAGCTTAAAGTGATATAAGATGAAAAATTAAATAATTACAATTTACAAATATCACAAAATGTTCCATATTTCATCAAAACACTTCAAGCGTAATTTCCCTACATGGAGAGAGACAATGCCTTGATTCACAGCTGTACCCTTGAAACCTTTATATTATCAATATAGAGCCTGTCTAGGGTTAGAAATACGAATAATAATAATAATAATTCACAGCTGTACCCTTGAAACCTTTATCTTATCAATATAGAGCCTGTCTAGGGTTAGAAATACGAATAATAATAATAATAATTCACAGCTGTACCCTTGAAACCTTTATATTATCAATATAGAGCCTGTCTAGGGTTAGAAATACGGATAATAATAATAATAATTCACAGCTGTACCCTTGAAACCTTTATCTTATCAATATAAAGCCTGTCTAGGTTTAGAAATACGAATAATAATAATAATAATTGTGTAAAGAAACAACAACTGAAAATAATCAGTTTTCAAAATTATATGCATTAATAACTAATTCATATCTTGATCAGACATAGCTTTTGAGGGTACCATTGGGAATCAGGCAATGCCACCTTTGCATAAAGAAGGGTCACTTGAAATTACGCTTACAGTCCCTTTGAATAAGTCAATAAAGCTTAAGCCGAGTAATGTTTAGATAAACCCGACCTTATTTACCTTAATACGGAGCTAATAACAGAGCATGTCAAAGAGTGAATATAATTTCAAATGGAAACGAATTTATGAACTATTTGATTCAATTATTTCAAATATTTTCTACAAGTTGACATAAATCATTTTTAAGATAAACATATAGTATTTCTTTATTAAGATTAAAATAAAAAAGTTTAAAAAAATGAAGCAGAATGTTATCCCCTGTAGTTGGCCTTTTCTCCCCTACGTAAATAGAAAATATATGTGAGAATAACCAGGGGTAAGGTTCACATAAAAAAAAATAAAAAATTTAAAACAATAATTGAAACTTTTATCAGGCAATATTATTGTTTATGTGAAAACATCAATAATATTTTTGTCTTTATATGGACGGAAAAAGTGAGTTCCATCTTAACAATAAAAAAGATAGTGAAAACGTTCACCAACTAAAAATGGTTATTCGTATTATGTTGAGAATGCCATTGTCATTCTAATTCAAATTGTTGATTTCTCAATTTCTTTTTGTTAAAGAAAATATATAAATATATAAATATAAATTTAGTTTAAGAAGTTTTATCAATGAAATCATTTTGCATTCAAATAAACGGTTTAAATTTTTTCTTTCGCACAACCATGTAAAATATGATAGATAATATCATGGATTAATAATGTTGACAATGAAAAATCTTATAACAGCTGTAAAATGAATTTTTTTCGATTTTTAAAATTCAATATCTCGATTTATGAAACCAAAAGAAATAACTTGCACCTAAAATATATTAGAATTTATAATGCCAAATAGTGTTTCAATGGTGCCGCTATAGTGTGTAACTATCGTCTTTACATATATCCATCCACTATTTTATTCCTAAGTATATTTTATATGCATTTTACGACTTTAATGGGTCCTCTAGAGTCAGGTCTAAAGGTAGTATAGAAGAGGTTTCCTCTAAGCAGAAAGGGTTTCCGCTATACAGTCTAGTAGAGGCTTCCACTGTACAGTATAGGTTTCCGTTATACAGTACAGGCTTCCACTGTACAGTATAGGTTTCCACTGTACAGTATAGGTTTCCACTATACAGTAGAGGTTTCCACTATACAATGGAGGCTTTCGATGTACAGTATAGGTTTTCGTTATACAGTAGAGGCTTCCACTGTACAGTATAGATTTCCTCTATACAGTAGAGGGTTCCACTGTACAGTATAAATTTCCTCTATACAGTAGAGGATTCCACTGTACAGTATAGGTTTCCGCTACACAGTAGAGGCTTCCACTGTACAGTATAGGTTTCCTTTATACCGAAGAGGCTTCCGCTGTACAGTATTGGTTTCCGTTATACAGTAGGTTTCCACTGTACAGTATAGGTTTCCTTTGTACAGCATGGGTTTCCACTATGCAGTATAGGTTTCCACTATATAGTAGAGATTTTCCACTATACAGTATAGGTTTCCACTATACAGTAGAGGTTTCCACTATACAGTAGAGGTTTCCACTATACGGTATAGGTTTCCACTAAACAGTATAAGGTTTCCACTATGCAAAATATGTTTCCGCTATAAAGTAGAGGTTTCCACTATACAGTATAGGTTTCCACTATACAGTATAGGTTTCCATTATATAGTATAGGTTTTCACTATAAAGTAGATTTCCACTATACAGTATAGGTTTCCATTAATATACAGTTGAGGTTTCCACTTTACAGTGGAGGTTTCAGGTTCAGTTCTATTCTCTTTAGTGTATGATTTTTGGACCCCCCCCCCCCTCCTTTTATTTTTGTGCACGCTATCTTAACTATTTTTCAACATTAAATTATTTTTCATTTTAAATTATTCCAAGGTAGGTTAGGCTAAAAAAATTTCTGGACCGAGCGCTGCGGTTTGGATTGCAGGCTAGGGGGCCGAATGCTGCAGCTAGGACAGGTTAAACGGCCGAGCGCCACAATGAATCAGAAAAAAATGTTATTATTATGATGCTTTGAATAAAAGTTCTTTGTTAATTTCTATGTACATCCAGTTTTGGAAAAGAAATTTAGAAAAAAAACTATTCCCTCTTATATTTTTTCTACTTTCTTTGAGAAGTCAAACCTTATAGAAATCCAACGTATAGAAAATACCTCGAAAAACAATGGACAAATAGCTGAAAAATACCTCAAAAAACAATGAACAAATAGCGGGAAAATAGCTGGAAAAATAGCTTTATCCTCCGCATTGTTGATCAGAGAAATAGAAACCAACAGAAATATATGGTGGTTAAATATCTTGATATTTACATAAGCTGGTGTAGTGCTAAAATATACTGGATTTTTATGAAGTCAAAAATCCAGCATTATTAGGTCACTCAAAGCAGAAATTTGTATCAATTATTTTTTCTTTTCCTTCAAAATTGTAAAATAGGGTTACAAAAACACAATATAAACAAAAATAGACTCAGGAACTTTTTTTGTGAAGAAAAAACTATTTTCAAAGAAAATTAAAACATATGTAAATTTCTTTTTTATTGACAAAATATAACATTACATGAAATGGATGATTTTACGTCTTAGTTTTCTTAATTTTAATGTTTTCTGCTCCAGCTTCACCGATAAATCCTGGTTTCAACATTCATTATTCAATTAAAAATCAAATTTAAAAATATCCCATTAAAACATGATTCATTTACAAAATATTAGATCTTGAAGGATCTGAAGTCAAAACGTTTATGTTGTGAATTTCGGGATCAAGCATTGATCTCAATCTTATGCAGATCTACATGTAATTGATTTATGTCCCCTGATTTTGGGATCAAGCATTGATTCTCAAATTTAAAAGTTCCCACATAGGATATCGAGATCAAGCATTCAAAATTAACAATATCTACACAAAAGTTCCAATCTCTGAACACTTCCCTCAAACTCGATTTTTTATATCTTTCAAACCTGATTGTGTTAATCTTTGATAGTTTAAACTTTGACTGAATTGTACCTTTCAGGTTTCATATTGTACATTAAAGTATATATCGAAGATCTTCATCATCAGGTTGCAACGATTTAAATATTAGAAAATTAGAGTTTGAGGTAACTGTTAAGTTCCTGTATGAGAAGAATGAAATAAATTTCAAGATTTTTTATTTCTCGATACTTTTTGTACATAGTTTATTTATTTGAAGAGGTAGGGAATATGATAGGGTATTAGATTGAGAAAAAAATGTGAAAAAGTGAAAGTTTTCATCTCTAATTATATTTGATTGATTGACTTATTTGTGATAATGAGAATTTATGTACAAGATAAAATCAATGTAAAAGTTTCCTAGAAGAGATACGAAATATCCAATCCCAAGAATCAAGTAGGCAATAGCAATATGTTCAATACTCAGCTTTTTCTAAACAAAATAGCAATATGTTCAATACTCAGCTTTTTCTGAACAAAATAGCAATATGTTCAATACTCAGCTTTTTCTAAACAAAATATTCAAAGCATGATTTATTTTCCAAAATTAATGACTATTTTCCAAGCAAAAAGTTCTAAATGTTCTAGCCAGGAATTAAAGGCAACCACAAAAATTTGTAATCTGGGAAAGTCAGGAATTGGGAAATTACTTTATTCGTACCGACCCGGCCCTATCCCTGTACTCATAGATTAATAACAATAAAGATAGAACACTAAATGTCGTATTTTCAAGATTTAGGGGTTTTTCGATCGCAATAACCCTGAGGCTGAAGCCCAAAGTAGTTACTTGCATGCCGCGTTGAATTACAAGACAGAGACAGAGTATGCGCGTAACTCCTTTGGGCTTCTGCCTCATGGTTATTGTGAATGGAAAACCTCTAAAGCTAGAGAAAACAACATCTAGTTTTCTATCTGTATTTTTATTAATCTATGCTTGCACTGTACTGTGATTGCAGATTAGTTATGCTACAAGATCGGCTTTATTTCATATTAAGTGATTTTCACTGTCCTATAACTGGACTTTTATTTTTGGTTTGGAGCGTGGATTGGAAATTGATGCGGTTGTCTTCCCTCCCTCGTTGAACCGACCTGATCAGGAACAGACAAATCAACTTTTCTCGCCCCACTCAGAGTATTATGGATCTTTACATCAAACCCTGCCTGCAAGCAATAATAAAAATTACGTAAATTGACTGAGTACTCGCCTCAAAATCTAATTGTCTAACTCTTTAAATCCGCATCTTGATGTCTCAGACCGTTGATATTTCAAACTATGCTAGATCAAACAGTGAAACGTTACACCAGAAAGTTAGAAAGATATAGGAATAAGACAATTTGAGATTGAGTTAAGTAACTAATTCCTTTATTTCTAGATTTAAAAAAGTTTAATTTTGACCTGGTGGCTTATAAGGATATGCTGATTGAGTTCTTCCTCCCACTTCGATCCTTTCTGTAGAACCCAACCAGTATAATACGGTCTTACTTCCTCCTCAAATAATAGTTTTTATTTTAACATATATTTTCATACAGAAGTGATCTAGACAAATGCGCAATTGGAAAGTGTTCTACATGGGGGGGGGGGGGCGCGAAATAGTTTGTGGATTATTTGAAGCCTTGTCAAATATTTAAATATTTGTATATTTGTATTTCTGTGATTAAACATGCGTGTTGAAAGTAGAATTTATTTTACAATTTTTATATCAGAAATTCATTATAACTTACGAAATAATTGGTAACGTATCCAAATGGGGGCTATGAGGATGACCCCCCCCCCCCACCCTCCTCTCACGATTCTCAGGGTTTTTATTCCCCAATGCCCCCGTGTAAAGTTTCAAAAAGTAACAAATTCCTGTAAACGGCCCTGTACCTTACTGAAGTAGAACATGGGCCCAGGAAACTCTTCTTGTAATACTTTAAACTCTTTCATGATATATAAGATATTGTCCTAAACATTTACAAAAACATATATTACTTTAATAGTTTACATAAACATATATTAGTTTAATAGTTTACATATACTTATGTTTATTTGTATGTGCATTGTACAATTGCTATATAATTCTTTAATAATTCTTTAACTACAAATTTTGCTGAAATTAATGAAATATAAAAAATCGACATTTAGACACAGGCATTTATCACGTCACATTTATGCATATGAAAATGGCCTCAATTAATTAATTAAATGAAATTATAATTAGTAAAAAAATCACTGTTTATTTATTATTTGACTTCTTTACCTTACTATTCAATATCACTCTTTCTGTATTTTTCAAAACACTTTTTATCATAGAAATTTCATCATCCCCCTGAAATGCAATATTTTTGCATTATGGAGAATTTATTTGATATCAGTTCAAAACCATTCAAAACTGAATTTAATTAATATTTGTTAAATATATAAAATATGGCGGTCGGAGAATAGCGGAGAACCTTTGTTTTACTGCGTTCTTGAGCTCTTACTCAGCAATTATACAACGGGAAATAATATAACTAGGACCGAATGTAATGATTTGGAGAGGTCGCTGAACTACCAACCACCGGTTCAAATCCTCATAAATCTTTAACTTTGAATTAGGATTTGAATCGGCAGTGGTTAGTTTAGCCACCTTTCTCCAATTAATAAAATTCCGTGCCAAATAATAAATAAATCCTTTTATTTTATTATGTATTGCTCAAGGGCGGTTTCAGGGAGGGTGGTGGCAGTCCATTACCCCCCCTCCCTGAGTGAAATTAGGGGGGGTTGTACCCCCCTGGACTCTTACAAAGTCATTCCTCATTTAAACTATCATTTTTTAACTATGTATATGAATATTAAAGTTTACTTGAAAGTGACAACATTGTAAAATTAACATTAGCAAGATTTAAGAATATCAACATGAAATAAAAATAATTCTCCCTTCATTAGAATAATATGATATGATATGTATAATGTAAATGTATAAAATTCAATCAATATTTTTTTATATCGTTTTTAGATAAATAAATGGATTATTAAGACATTTGCCTGAAGTATAATCTACCATGATGTGCAATTCTAATTCATTATCTGTATTAATAATATTATTATCTTAACTATTTGTATGTTGACCCAGCCGGGCTAGCCCGGTCAGTTCATTTTTACCTGTTTATAAATAAAGTAGTTGAATATCGTTAATTGATCAGAACGGACGTATACAGAGCCTTGAGTTTTGGCTAGAGATTTAGTTAGAGAGAATTTCATTAGACTGTGAGTNAAGGTCACTTCCTTAGATATAAAAACCATTTATTAATCCCCCCCCCGCCACCAACAAAGAACTCACATTTACAAAATGGCGGATATTTTTTGTTTAAACTACCTCACTGTTGGAATATTGTTCTGCATTTTGCATTGCTTTAACTTGCCAAGGATCCGGAGAATTTACCAGGAAATCATACTCCCAAGAGGAATCCATCACGTGTATAACCTTTTTTTTTAAATTAAAAAATATTTATTCACCCATAAAATAAAGCTCATGGCTTATGGCTCATTCATGTATATAATTAAACATGGAATTGAGTCTTTGTCACAAACTATGATTTTCTAATCCTTATATCTTTGTAATCCAATGCTGTAGACCTTAGATATTTCAAACTATGATTTCTGTTAGATGAAACAATCTAAGTTTGAAATATCAAAGGTTTACACCATCAGGTGGAACAAATATAGGTATTAGAAAATCAGAGTTTGTTACAAAGATTCAATTCCTTTGTATTAATAAATATGAGAACTGAGAAGCTGTTCTGATTATTGCTTTATAGCTAGTTATCTATATCTGGCCAAACGGCTGGACCGTATTGGCTGATATTTTTAGGAAACCCATTCGAGTATTTTAAAATTCCATTAGTTTCTCTACTTTAAAAAAATTAGTTTTCAGGGTCAACCTTAGTTGCTTCTTAATGTTTTTGTTTATAAAAATAATCCCAAACCCCAAACGCTGTCTTTCACCATCTATGATCTCTGTACATAGATCAATTTCTTAAAATGTAGTAATCTAAATCAATATAATAAATCTCTTCAATCATATGTATCACTGCAAACTAGACTGAAGGACAAGAGGCCGAATTTAAAGAATTTGAGCCGCGGTTTAAATTTAAGCCGCGGCTCAAATATGGTTGGTTCCACTTAAATTTGTATTCAATTTTACAAGATTTAAGCCGGCGGTCAATTAAACCCGGTTTTTGAGGGATTCATTAAATTCGGACAAAGGTAACATCACAAGGTAACATCAAGGTAAGATCAAGGTAACATCAAAAGGTAACATCAAGGTAACATCACAAGGTAACATCACAAGGTAACATCAAGGTAACATCACAAGGTAAAATCAAGGTAACATCAAGGTAACACCACAAGGTAACATCACAAGGTAACAACAAGGTAACATCACAAGGTAACATCACAAGGTAATATAACAAGGTAACATCACAAGGTATTACAAGGTAACATCACAAGGTAACATCACAAGGTAATATTACAAGGTAACATTACAAGGTAACATCACAAGGTAACATCACAAGGTAACATCACGAGGTAACATCACAAGGTATCATCAAGGTAACATCACAAGGTAACATCACAAGGTAACATCACAAGGTAACATCAAGGTAACATCACAAAGCAACATCAAGGTAACATCACATCACTTTGATTTAAAAGTGTGAGAAGAACAAAGGAATTGAATCTTTACAACAAACTCTGATTTTCTAATCCCAACATCTTTAGAACCCAATGTCGTAAACCTTTGATATTTCAAACTTATATTATTTGATCCAACAAAAGTCAAAGTTTGAAATGTCAAAGATTGCGACGTTGTAATCCATAGATATAGGGATTAGAAAATCAGAGTTTGTGACAAAAACTCAATTTTGATTGAAAACAAAGGAGATTTGAATCGTGGAATTTACTTTAGTTTGACGTGAGATAGATATATATATTTGCTATAGCTGGCCAAACGGCTGGACAGAATTGGCTGAAATGTTTTTAAGGAAACCCATGGATACCCTTGGGGTCACATAGACTAAAAAATTTCAATTTATTTTAAATCAATTTTTTTTCTCACGGGCAACCCCGGGCACTAGTATGAAATACAACCTTATTTTCTCGATAAATATTTTCTGAAGTATCAATCGCATTTTCATACGAGGGTTTCATCATTATAGCTCTAAAAATATGAGATATGATTATTAAGAAAAATGTTTTACTTTTTATTTACGTGAGAAATGTAAACGGTATTCCAAGTCACTCCCAATTTTTAGGTTTAAAAACAAGATATTTTCATAGTTTTTGCACAGAAAAATGGTTTAATGGTACCGTTGTGATTCGGATCTGCCACTCCTTAAATGGAGAATCACTTAAAATCACGAATACAGTCCCTTAATATCTTATATTTAATATTGAACCTGAGATTGCATGAGAAAAAGAATCCAATAAGACTAGAGCAAAGAGCCCAAGTTATCAGTAGAATACTTCCAGACCAAACTGAACAGTACAATAAGACTAGAGCAAAGAGCCCAAGTTATCAGTAGAATACTTCCAGACCAAACTGAACAGTACAATAAGACTAGAGCAAAGTGCCCAAGTTATCAGTAGAATACTTCCAGACCAAACTGAACAGTACAATATCATCGTGTTTTGCAATAAAACTAAATGAATTTTTTTATCCTCGAAAATTATTTAAAAAAGGTCTTTTTCATAGTTCAATTTCTTTTTAGAAACTTTTCTGTAGTCGCTTTTGTTTCAAACAATTTGTAAAAAGGGTGTATTAAGATTGAAGATTTCTTGAGTTGCGAAACGTCGTGTTAAAATTACATACCACCAAACTATAGAGTACAAAAAATGTTTCAACAATAACGTGTACGGATTACTAGGTAATTAAGAAATTTTAGAATCATAAAACCAAGAGACTTATTTAAACAAATTTTAGAATCATAAAACCTTATTTAAACAAATTTTTCGCAAAATTCAGTTTTGCCCAAAAAAAGTTGATGTAATTCTTTTTCTTCCATTCTTGATTTTCATAGTAACCTAAACTTTATGTCTTACATCTGCTATCCTTTATTTTAAACCAGTCCGGCATTTCTTCAGCATTCAGCATTGCAACAGGCAACAACAGAACCATTACTCTATCAGGCTAAATTTTGAAATAATTTTGTTAAAACACTAAACTTATGGTTTTCCAAAACTTAGTTGTTATTATGGGAATTTTCAGACAAATTAGAATATTTTTGATAATTTTGTGTGTACGTTGTTGATAATTGAATACCTTGAGGCTCAACCTGTATTCCTCGATATATTTAAACCTTTGAAATAATCCAATATTATGTGGATTACTCGATGTATTAAAGAATTATTTAATGTCGTCTTTTATTAGATATATTTAAACCTTTGGAATAATCCAATATTATGTGGATTACTCGATGTATTAAAGAATTATTTAATGTCGTCTTTTATTAGATATATTTAAACCTTTGAAATAATCCAATATTATGTGGACTACTCGATGTATCAAAGAATTATTTAATGTCGTCTTTTATTAGAGCAGTTTCTTTCTAGCTTTAGGACGGACGCAATAATTCAAATTCAAGCAGATGGGGATACTCGTCAATTATTCATATACGCTGCAACATTTATAAACGTTTTACGCTGAAAAAAGTACGTATTTATGCAGGCGCAATTAATCGGTATTAAAAGTGAGGACAAACATTCATGACGTTCAATGAGGACGCACTCGCTCTTAAATAATAGGATTACAGCACTGGGTTGCAAAGTGAGGTGCCGGAAGAATATGCGAAGGTATTTAAATGAAACTATTGTGGTTTGATTAAATGACCTGTTTGTATCCCTGTAATGTTGCAAGGGAAACCACCGCCAGCAATACAATTGAAACAATCAAAGTACTAAAAATTGTTTTTTTTTTCTTCTGCTATTTTCTTTTAAAACTGTTAATGCTGAGTACCTACCTAACCCAGATAGCTATCCAGCTTGGCACATCAAAAACCTTTATTACTTTGAATTCTTATTTACCATGATTAAAAAAAAGTGGAAATGAATTTCTAAAATTAAATAAATTAATTTTAAATAATTTAACCTTGACAATGTTTAAAGAAGGAGATGATTCACCAGGAAACTAAAATTTACAAATTTAAACTTTCCTTCATAGTTTCTAAAAATTAGTAATTATTGAGTATTTTGAACCAAAACCTTGAATTTCCTACTTTTAAAACAATTCCTTAAACTTTGTAGTTTTTGTATTGTTAAAGAATTAAGGGTTATCTAAACATGTATTCTAGACTGCAACTTCCTAAACAACAACAACTTTATATAAAGCATAACAAAAATCACTGCTGTATGATATTGTGTGATCGTTGTATTTCAAGAATATTGCTGAGTAAAGGAGGTTTATTTTAAACATTTTGAAGTCATAGGTCTAAACTTTTGAATGAAAAGGTGCTGATCTACATGCACTTGATGCCAATATCCACAGTGGCAACTTATAAATTTCAGAGATAAGTGCTTGATCCCTCATGGTACACACATCATGGGATATCCAAGAAGTTTAATCCTTATGATTTCACATGATTCGGATAATTACTTGATCCACAACATAACAGTTTTGAACTCAGGTTAATTATAATATGGTGTAAAAAACTCAGATCCTTCCTCCTCGGCAAATTTATTTCTCTGATCTAATTCATGTCATTATTTATGAACCATACCTTGGAAACCCAATTGCTGATGTCAGTACCTACAGGAGAGGAATAACTAATAAACTGACCCCTAAAAATATTATATTTTTTACCCCAGGGTGTTAGAGATAACTTTACACGGCGATTTGAAGGTTTTGTTTTACCGGTCAGTTAGACAACACTATAGATTTTACAATTTGAGATTTTTAGTTGAATTTGATTTACAACCAACCTCAAACCTACCTTTCCAATGTGTATGAAATATATGTAACACCAACATCTGCTAATCCATACCCGACCTAGTTTATTTTCAGTTATCGTAAAAATTAATTATTATAATAAAACTATTCACCCATGTATATATGTATATATGTTAGTTATAGCCAAAGGGTTGGACCAAATAGGCTAATTTTTTTAATGAACACACGAGTACCTTGAGAGGTAACACCATAGATAAAGATAGATTGCGCATAAGACGACATTTTTCATCTTGAAAGATATAAATGTACAGAGATGTTTTAAAGATATTCCTATTACATAGATTAACTAGGTCGGTTGTGAACATTGGCTGTTCTTATGTCATTGAGTACTTGTGGTGTACATGAGTTCTGTAGAGAGAAATTTAGGTTAGTTTAGTCCTTCTCATGTCCTTCTTCAGTTCTCGTCAATATGATATATTGCTCAGTGAAATATTGTTGTTCAAATAGTTCCATTCCCGGAGTTATTTTACACGCCAGGCACTTGTCAAAAATAATTTTCCATAAATATACCTGTCCAACAACCCCAGTCCATAGATTTGTCTCTGGGTTGAAGGTACCCCAGGTAAACTGAGCATCAGTAAACTCAGTTCTCAAATTCATTTTTTCTAAAAAACAGATTTAATTGGTTAAATATAAAAATAAGGCAGACTTCAAGAATAGTTCTATCCTAAGATATTTAAAACTACATGGAGAAGGGAGCAGGGTTTGTTTACATCCTACTACTGACGTATTGATGACACAGCTGTTGCTAGAACTAGCTTTAAAGTATTGAAGGAACCCTAGTTTGGTTGGTTTAAAGTATTGAAGGAACCCTAGTTTGGTTGGTTTAAAGTATTGAAGGAACCCTAGTTTGGTAGGTTTAAAGTATTGAAGGAACCCTAGTTTGGTTGGTTTAAAGTATTGAAGGAACCCTAGTTTGGTTGGTTTAAAGTATTGAAGGAACCCTAGTTTGGTTGGTTTAAAGTATTGAAGGAACCCTATTTTGGTTGGTTTAAAGTAATGAAGGAACCCTAAATTGGTTGGTTTAAAGTATTGAAGGAACCCTAGTTTGGTTGGTTTAAAGTAATGAAGGAACCCTAGTTTGGCTGGTTTAAAGTATTGAAGGAACCCTAGTTTGGTTGGTTTAAAGTATTGAAGGAACCCTAGTTTGGCTGGTTTAAAGTATTGAAGGAACCCTAGTTTGGTTGGTTTAAAGTATTGAAGGAACCCTAGTTTGGTTGGTTTAAAGTATTAAAGGAACCCTAGTTTGGTTGGTTTAAAGTATTGAAGGAACCCTAGTTTGGTTGGTTTAAAGTATTAAAGGAACCCTAGTTTGGTTGGTTTAAAGTAGTGAAGGAACCCTCGTTTGGTTGGTTTAAAGGCACTTTGTACAAAAACTGTGTACTTCCAAAATTTCAAAATTTAAGGAAAATATTATTTTTTTTTGTTTGTTTTTGCAAATATTTTGGCATAGTGTAAGAACAGCAAATGTTTAGAATAAACTTCTCAGATTTTTCGGAACCACTAAAATGTCCAAAAACCTTAAAAGTATTTTAAAATCGAATGAAACTTTGTTCCATATACTTTAGTTAAACAAACAACATAAATAAAAAAGTAAACGTTTACGCGCTGCCTTGTTATATTTTTTTCCTATTGTTCACAATAAACATTTTCTAATATCTCAGCGCTGCTTTCATCGGTTATAAAGGGTTACTTACAAAGGGTGACACTGTAAAGACGACCTGAAACTCATATAATATAACGATCCCCAGGTTAAAATAAGTCTTCTACAAGTTTACGATTGCAGAGAACCGTGAAAATAAAGAAATGTATAGACAGTGTCAGTTCCGTACTGTCGTCTATGATGATTCGTCCACTGTGGGTAGGGGGGGGTTTACCTATGTAAGAACTGAGGAATAATCCTTCAAATGTATCAACATTCACTTTCTCGTTTTCATACAAAAATCTTGGAGCATAGTTATTGTAGGCAATCCTAAAAATTCATATTAAATGTGCCCCCTTCACTCCTTCTGAAAAAACAATCCTCCCTTGACTATCTATCTATATTAAACTAACCTAACCTGAAATAGGATAATCACGGGTGGTTGTACTTGTACTGCAGTGGGTTCAGAAGAACAAGGAATTGTTGAATTGTGCTGTTTTTTTTTGTTGTTTTAAAAAACCCTCGGTTAATTTATAAAGAAGTTTAAAAAATTAAATTTAATTTAAAAAATATATTTACTGAAGAAAGAAATTGAAAAACTTGTCATGAAATGCCAAGTAGGACTTTTCTCCAAGGTTGGCGCAAATAGAATTTTAATAATCCCACAAAAAGGCATTAGCACTAAAAGCATATTTATGAGACCGACTTAAAGGGACTGTCGGCGTAATTAAACCGACTTAAAGGGGCTATCGGCTTAATTTAAACCGACTTAAAGGGGCTGTTGGCGTAATTAAACCGAGTTAAAGGGGGACCGTCGGAGTAATTTAAACTGACTTAAAGGGACTGTCGGCGTAATTAAACCGAGTTAAAGGGGGACCGTCGGAGTAATTTAAACTGACTTAAAGGGACTGTCGGCGTAATTTAAACCGACTTAAAAAGACTGTCAGCGTAATTAAAACCGACCAATCGATTAATAATGAGGAATAAAATTCTAAAAGATTGACACGGTAAACAATATTTGGTTACTTTAGGAAACTTATTTTACCTCAGTGTTTGTTGTTGAAATGAATTGAGCTCGTATAAATTCTGAATTCCACGACAGATAATCGAGGAATAGAATGAGGACCAAATACAAGGAATATCTTTACCATGAACATTTCTTGATATGAAACACATATTTAAATGTTGTTTTATCACAAATAGATCTTGTTTGCTTAGAATTTTCACCAGCTTCTGTGACAAGAGGTCTAAACTTATGTTGGTGAAAGCGTTCATTTATAATGATTCAACTTGATAACCCTTTGAGTGCTTGCTTCCTTAATTTAAGTCATCCCTGTTTGGTTCCGATCCCTGTTTGCTTCCGATCCCTGTTTGGTTCCGATCCCTCTTTGTTTCCGATCCCTGTTTGTTTCCGATCCCTGTTGGGTTCCGATCCCTGTTTAGTTCCGATCCCTGTTTATTTCCGATCCCTGTTTGTTTCCGATCCCTGTTTGTTTCCGATCCCTGTTTGTTTCCGATCCCTGTTTGTTTCCGATCCCTGTTTGGTTTCGATCCCTGTTTGGTTCCGATCCCAGTGTGTTTTGGATCCTGTTTGGTTCCGATCCCAGTGTGTTTCGGATCCTGTTTGGTTCTGATCCGCTGTTTTGAGGTTATTTGATTTGTTTAGAATTTAAACATTCTTTTAAAAGTGAATATTTACAAATTATCTTTTTTACATTTCATAATCTGAGTTCGTTTCCCTTTTTTCATTTGACAGTCAATTTTCTTGTTTTTTTTCATTTTTCATTTTTTAATATTGATTTTGATGGTTATTATATCGTTAGAACTGCAGAGGGTCAACCACCCAGTCCGAAGCTTATTTTCGAATGGAACCAACAACTATTTTTTTACTCTTTGAGGTTTGGAGAATCATCAACAAAGAATTTTTTTCAATCCTTTGAACAAAAAATAAAAGGATCAAGGGATTAACAAGACAAAAAGTTCTCTACTCTGACTGATTTTGAAAACCTTTTACGGCTAGCACCAGTTGGCATGATCTTCTTATCTATATGATAAAACAAAAATGCATATATATGTTGTGCATAGCCGGCCAAACGGCTAGACCGATTAGGGTGATTTTTTGTGTTATAGGCTAAAATAATTGGAAATTTTTTTCCTAATATTTTTAAAGATTTTATTTCCTCAGGCAACGCCGGGCCCTTCGGCTAGTAGTAACTATAGACTTAAAGAAACTAAGCATGTAAAGTACTACAGCTTTGAAGGAACGCGAGATGATCACTCTAAGAAATTTCAGATTTTCATCTAACAAAATTTGTTGGAGCACCGGACTCAAATACACCTTAGTAGAATCATTCGTCAAATTTTGTTAAATGTATTTTCAGTCCCCTTAATTCAAAGTTTGTTAGATGATCTATCAACAACATGACAAAAGAAACATGTCATATAACAAAGTTTGACACATGCTGAGAGAACAATGTGTAAGCTATTAACAAGTTTTGTTAGATTGTAAATTTGGAAAATATTCATCAAAATTTGAGTAATGAAAGAAGAAATTTGAAATATGAAAGAAGAACTTTGTTGCCTGATGCTAAAGACCAAAATTGCATTTTTTAGAGTGATGAAAGAATGTGAATTTTTAGTCCAATTTGTGCTTCGTGCAGTACAATAAAATAAATTATAAATTCCTTTTATACCTGAACAGTATTTTGTGAGAGGGCTGGGATACATGAACAAAAGAACCTTCTATATTAACATGATGAACTTTAATCAATAAAATAAGTTAAAAGACTATAGATGTAGATTTCAAGTGACGTATATACTGGCACGCTCGATTCACAATGGTACCATTTATAAAAGCTGTTTCTGATCAACAATGAAATTAAATATTTTCAATTCTTGGTTCTGTATAAAATGACTTGTGTATTTCTGCTTTAGAATCATGGTGAAGGAAATTGTTAGAATAGAAACTTCTTGAGCTAGAAAAATAACGATATATTCGACAATATTGATCTAATAAAGGGTTAAAGGCTACGGATGGTAATCGGGCACAGACCCTTTAAATCCTCGATCTTTCCTGAATAAACCAAGTCAAAAATATGTTCTCTGAAAACATCATGCTACCATTCCTAGACTAAAAGAGATGGTTTCTAGTTGTTGACCAATAAGAATGTAAAGTTTAGGTTTATATCCAGATATCCTAATATCTGAGATCTGAGTTACATCATCTTCAGAAATCTGGAAATATTTTTCATTAAATTTTACAGTTCAGAATTTATGAACAGGATCGAAAGAGGTAGTTGAACTGGGTCCGGCTGATTCTCTGATACAAGTATTGGCTCAAGCTCGGATAAGCAGTGTAAATGAATTAGATGAACTAGGTAGGGCTGGTTCAACTACCATTGTTCATGTTCAGATTAGCAGCGCAGGAGAAGCAGTTTTACCAAAGCTAGTTTAAGTAAATCTCTCTCATTCAATAATTCCCATCTCTGGGTTTGCTAAAGTACTTAATGCCTTTAAAATAAGAAATCTATATATTGTAGAGATCACAAACTAAGAATCCACAAGAGATGGAAGGATAAAATCCGGGAAGGATGAAAAGAGAATCCAGGAGCCAGTCTGATTAGAACCAGGAAGAAGAGAAGACCTTCAAGCTTAATTCTCAACATATTTATAGAATTTGTAATATATTTATATCCTAAGAATATCAGTAAATATATAATCTTCACAATATATCTATATATATAAAGTTGTAATCTCTATTGGATGTCCGACCATAACTCATGACCTCCTTGACTGATTTGCCTCAAATTATTGAGGGAGAACCACGGGAATGTTCTTAGCTTGCTTTTGAGATTTTTAGTTGAGTGAGTCCACTTTGATAGGGAAAAATAGCTAAAATCGTAATTTAATACCAGGTGCAATTAAACGGCGGGAAGAACCGAGGAACTATGAGTGAGTACTGAGTACCCTGGTCAAAGCTAGGTTCTCAAGCTTGTTTATAGCAATTTCCAACCTGTTGTAAGATAATAAAGATGCAAGTAGTTGAACTGATAATTGTAGCTGCAGCTTTCTCTAGCGCGGGCCAGTCCTTCATATAGAGCCTTTCATTTTCTGTATTGGAGATATCAGATCCACTTAAGAAAGAATAGAGTTTATTAGCATCCAATTAACATCTTTGAAACCTGATGTTGTATTCCTCCGATATTTCAAACTAGGAATTCTGCTAGATAAAAGTTAAAATAGCAAAGGTTTACAACATCATGGTGCAAAGATATATGGATTGGAAATCTAATGTTTGTAGTCTGAGGCAAGTTATCAATTCCTTTATTTTTTTTTGATTTTAGAAAACTTACATATTTCCAACATATATTTCAAGACAGTGTTCAGTATCACCGTGACTAACAGACAAATTCAGAAATTGAAAATAAATAAATATTTCAGGAAACAGTAATCCGATTTTTTGACCGACAGACAAATTAAGAAAGATTCTATTTGATATTTATGATGAGGACTTCGACAAAGCAGAAGTAACGAAAAACTGCCCTAAAATACTTCAGAAATATGAGTCAACGGTTTTTCACGGATAAGTACTTAATTGCTTTAAATTAAAAGTTTCTGCTGTGGGTTTAAAGGCAGTGACCGGCAATGTATGGTAGTTGAACTGAGAATGTAGTATTGTGGAGAAATTTCTTAGAATTCATTTGAGACATATATAACGTTTAATGATGTATAATTACCGAGTTTGAGCGCAAAGTCGACGTTCAAAAGCATCCATTTAGGTGGCTAAGTTTTGAGAATCGACTTTTCAAATTATTAAATATTGACAAAAAATGTAAAAAAGTACTACAGCAAACTAATTAGATGTTTAGGAACATATTTCTCAATCGAAATTTTCTCCATAAATCAATGTTAGAATCAATTATTTTTTTCATAATTATAATGAATTTCTTATTCTTTATAAATTTGATCGCAGATTTCTTCAAATTCTTTAAATGTCGTCTTTTCATTAAAAATTTCAGAAAATCTACAGAAAATGTTTGTGAACAATAAGACATTATAGAAACCAATAACTGAATAAGATTACTAATTTTCGATGATTATAGTTAACTTGTATTTTCTCAACCCGTTCCCAAACAACTAATTAGTGTACTGTAGAATTTTTACTACATTCTTTTTGAAACCTGATTCTCAAATTATTCCTCAAAAACAACAATCTGTGAGGATTTTAATGATTGAATTTGCTCTCTTGCTGAACAAATATTCACCGTAAAAACGTCTCATAGGTCTCAAATGATTCCTAAACAATTTCTCCACATACTGCACTCTCAGTTAAACTACCATACATTGTCGGTCACTCTCATTAAAAAAAAACTGTTTTATGTTATCTTAGCTTTTGATTTAATATTTGTAATTTGTCCCTAATGAAGGAGGATTTTATATTATCAAGATGTAGGTGTGATATATCTCCACAATACACAGTTGATAATGATGATAAGAAGAATAAAATCAAGAAAACCATCTTAAACATCAGAAATATATATTTATTATAAAGGTGCAGACTGCAGGGTAAGGAGTGAACATGGAGAAATGGCAATAAATATATGATTTATAAGTTTTCATTCAACAAAATCACTAAAAAGAAAAACCCACAAGAGTGCTGTTAAGTTTTTAATCAAAGCACAAGATATTTCTGGACATTTTTAATCATATTTTAAGATTTTTGGCTTTTAGAAGATTGTACAAAATCTAAGAAGTCTTATGTAGTTACTAATTCTACTTCGTATCAATTTTCTTTTATAAAATTATGCAAAATGTTGCTTCTAGCAGCAGATATAAGATATAAGCAAGCGTTCGTTAAGGAACTATTTGAAAAATATTTTAGGCATATATTTTCTGCCAAAGTAAAGATTTATCATAGTGCAATAAAAGCAAGCAATTAGAGAATACAGTTCTTCAATATGTTAAACTTCATATATTTTTGTAGATTCGCCTGAAAACCTAAAAAACCTAGAGTTAACTCTATTTACCATCCACGCCTCCCTTCTGAGGAATCCTGGATTAAAAAAAATCCAAGTCCTACTGTATTGTCCTAAAGCTTTGTAGACTGCACTAAAGTTTATCAGAAATAATTCAACTTTTAAAAAGATTTTTTCTATAATTCAGAATTCCAGTTTTCTCAAGATTTGTTTTGTCAGTTCAATGAACACATGTATTTATTCCCGTAAACCACTAAAAAGAACATGGACGATCGGGGAGGGGGGGGCAAGGGGTACAAAAAGAACATGGAGGATTGGAAACAAGTTTCCGATTGTGATTCCCCCAAAAAAATTAATGATAAATGAATAAAAATAAAATGATCACTAAAAAATCCGCAAAAAAAGCTGCTTAAATTTTTGATCGTTGCTTGAAATTTCAAGGATAAAAAATAACTACAAGCTTACATTCTTAAGTACTTTTTATTTCTTTAATCCTGATTAATACATTTTACAATTCTTTCACAAAAGGTAACATGAGAATTCCCAACAGGAATATTCTTTAAGATCCTCATCACTCTGAAAATAAATATTAAATTACTGTTTTTAAAATGTTTAGCTAAAATGTTTTGTTGAGTTAAGATGGCCTTATTTTGTAATTTATTTGAAATGATTATGAATGAAATAATTTTGAAAAGTAAACAATTTCCCCGGTAATATACATAAATATGATACAATTTCCCCGGTAATATACAGTGAAACCCTTAATAACGAATACATCGAAAGAATTCATCAATGTTTTATTCTTTACTTTCTGATAATGGAATGTTGCAGATATTTAGTTTTTTAATTAAATGATTATATGGAACTCTTTAAAACTGTTCCCACATATTCATGGCTATTTATTTATATTCGCAAATACTGAAAGTTACGAAATATAGTATATAACTCATTGAAAAATTGTCAAGACGACATTTGATAAATTCTTTCGATGTATTCGTTATTAAGGGTTTCACTGTACCTAAATATGATACAATTTCCCCGGTAATATACATAAATATGATACAATTTCCCCGGTAGTATACATAAATATGATACAATTTCCCCGGTAATGTACATAAATATGATAATGTGTGTACATATTGTACAATAAATAAGATGTGATAATAAATCATAACAACAAGTACAGTGTAGGGTGTACACTGTACATGTACTACCTGGGAAAGGTGTAGGCTACTCTCTCCCTACATGATTCTTCTTTATGACGAAACTAAAGAAAAAAAGTTGATACAGAAATATTAGATAATTAATACATTATAAGAATGCTGAAAATTATTCTTTGTTATGGCTTGCTCTAAACTAAACATATCATAAGATTAATTGTTTTTCACATTACCCATAGATGGTACCCACAACAAATTCTTCAATATCGCTCTCAAACTCGTTGAATATGAATAGTTTCAGGTTTAATATGGGTTTCTGATTCGAAGGTATTCGTCGAAGGGTCTCTTTTATTTTTTGAAATATGAAGAGTACAGATGGAAGAAAAATGGAAAACATTGGAGTGCATAAATACCGAAAAGGGAACTTTTAAGTATCTTTTGGATATTAAAAGGGTTTCCAACGCAAGTGGATTTTACAGCAAGCAAATGCTGGCTCTGTAATTTACGCGCAATTCCTTGCAATTCCTTGCAATTCCGCGCAATACGAGAACACTTGCATGCAATTCCGCGCAACGAAATTCCGACCGGGAACCCTATATACATTTAAAATAAATGAGTTCTACTGACCTGGGTACAGAATCCCTCATATTGAAGTGCGTGGATAAAATCTCCAGTAATTACAGCATCGTCGAAGTAGGTTGGGATAGAATCCACAAACTCAATACAGTCATCGCAGTAGGGAGGAGTAATGTCCTTAATCCAATTATTTTGTTTTAATCGATCAATTTCACAAAGTTTTGCTCCATACATAATTAGAAAAGAAGAAAAGAAAGACGTCTATCATTTAAAAAGTCAATGATACAAAACATGCAGCAGATATTTTTTCGAAAAGACAATTCACAATTTTCAGGTGTAATTTGGTTACCTCTTTGAAAATATTCTGTACAGATTTTTATCGAAATAGGTATGGGTCTGTCCTAGAGAACGATTTTTGGACCCCCCCCCCCCCTCCTATCAATTTTGTACATGACCACTATTTTCAATTGAATTAGTATTTATTCAGGGTTAGGTTAGGTTAAGACACTTTTTGGGCCGAGCACTGCAGCTAGGACAGGCTAGGGGGCCTAGCGTTGCGGTCACGGGTTAGGTTAAGTTAAGACACTTTCTGGGCCGAGCGCTGCGGCTAGGACATGTAAGGGTGCCGAGCGCTTTGGCCACATGTCTTACATTTAAGATCCATGAACAAAATTGATAGGAGGGGGGGGGGGGCGGGGGGGGCGTCCAAAAATCGCTCTCTAGGAAATTAACAATAGGTAATTTTTAGCTTAAACAAAATCCGGAAATTTTAAATAGTGTTAACTTTTACCTCTTTTATGAAAAGAGCAGTAGTTGTTGTTTCACTATCTTCTGGAGCAAGAGTTGTTTCTGTTGATGATTCGTCTTCTTCTACTTCAGCTGGACACTGATTGCAGAATAGAGACGGTCGGAAATATCCTTCCTCAGCTTCGAAGATGGCTGAAAAATTGTTTTATGCAATACAAAATATTCATCATGAGAAAAAGATAGAAGATATTCATCTCTTTCGTTCAAATAAAATTTGTTAATAGATAAGAGGGTTCATCAGTAGGCAGGCATCATTGTGAAATTTAGTTTTTGTATTTTTAAAAACATCAAATTAAAAAAACTGAAACTGACAAATTTTTGCTATCGGTAAAAAAAACGATAAACCTAAGAATTTAATTTTGCAAATGCAAGGAATTGTGGATCCCTTTAGACCTCTCAAGTGCAGTACAGTGACCACACTTCTAATTAAAAAACAGGGGAAACTAAAAAGCTTACCCTGGGCAATTGGTGGCCACAAGAACGTCATCTAAAATAGAAAAAGGTTTAGACGAACCAAAATAATTAATATTGTTCCCCAAAAATGTTAAAAACAGTTGAACCTAGTTAAAACTTTCAGAACACTATACCAGATACCAGGAAATGATTGCAAGCCTAAAACTAATTTTCGAACCCCAACTTTACAGTCTGATTTTGTGAACCTTTGATCTTTCAAATATCTTTGCAGGAGAAAAAGTTTGATATATCAAAGGTCTCCGACCTCTTGTTGCTAATATATATATATACGGATTGATAATCCGCTCCTTCAGAAAACGTAAAAAAACCCTAACCTCAACGGAGCATTCTGTATAGTTAAACTTCTTAGCGACCTCGCTACAGGTTTCATTTCGGAACTCATCCAACTGTCCTGAACATGAAATATATCATCCAACTGTCCTGAACATGAATATATCATCCAACTGTCCTGAACATGAATATATCATCCAACTGTCCTGAACATGAGTATATCATCCAACTATCCTGAACATCAATATATCATGAACTGTCCTGAACATCAATATATCATCCAACTGTCCTGAACATCAATATATCATCCAACTGTCATGAACATCAATGTATCATCCAACTGTCCTGAACATAAATATATAATCCACCTGTCTTGAACATCAATATATCATTCAATTTCTTGAAAAATGGTTTTTAAAAGAGGTGGTTTCTAATGGAAGTTTTTTTAACTGCATTCAATAAAAACTGAATATTCACAGGAACAAAATCTATAGATAATGTTTTAAATATTCCTGAAGTGAAGGCTTAATAGTAATCTTTAAATGAAAGATTAGTTAATACACCCGCCTAAATATTCGATTACTCTTTTCAAGACATCAACCTCCTTTTTTTCCTAGAACTTACTAACCTTGAATGGAGCTCTCTGATGCGAGCTCCTCTGAGAGCAGTTTTCCAATATTTCTGCAGCTCTCACAAGTTAGCTCAGCTGCTGATAGAGAGATGAAGCTCAACACTGTCAATATCTGACACAGATTCTAAAATAAGAGCTCGGTGAAGTAAAATATTTAAAAAGAAATATTGTACTTCATAAAGTGACCATGTAATAAATATCGGGTAACACAATATTCAGCAAAGCTGAAGTACGTTGTACACTATGTTTGTAAACTTCTACGTAAAACCCATAACTGATTTGAACTGTGCTTCAAATGAATACGTCCCAACAAACAAAAACCCGTGAAGAACACAAGATTATTTGGTTTATTTCACACGAGTGACCCGTCATTATCCCGTGATAATTCACGTGTTGTCGAGGTGATTGTCGACGATTTGAACACGGGTCTAGGACCGAGTTTTTACACGGCGAAAACTTGAGTTTATTTCACGAGATGAACACGGGATTTTTACATGGGAAAATTATTTTTCTCTCATCAACTTTAATTACATTTTTAAAAACCCCGAGAAAGGGGGGGGATACATAATTGATTTCTGATATAAAAATTTATTATAAAATATACTGTGTAAAAGTATATAACTATTACAAAATGTTTAGAAACTAAACATTTTAGTTTATATCTTTTACATTAAACATCTTGAACATGTAAACTTTAAACTTTTCTTATCACAATGTGATATTTCAAGTCTAAATATTGTTCAACTATGTTAACATATTCATAATTATATGAATTCCCCTTCCTGTATATATCTAAAATATCGATATTCCAAAAAGGGGTTGTTGAGAAATACAATACAAAATTCAATGTGAAACTTTTCTATACTATGCTCATGCTTGTTATAATCTGAAATATTTATGTCAGTTGAAATATTTCATTTTACTACAATAAACTTTTAGTTTCTAAAAGATGAGCAGAGACACCAAGTGTTGTGATTTTGCAACTCTGTTAAAAATGAAAAATGAAATTCTTCCCGTGATATCTCAAATATTTTACGCGTGATATTTACAAGAATTAAAATCTAGATAATTCTGGCATTCCATTACTCATGATTAACACGTTTGGAATATGCGAGAGCTTGCACTAGTATCTTTTCTACGAGCAGAACATGTGAAAAAACTTCGAGAATTGAACTATAGAATTATCTCAAAAATAGTACACGTGATAATTACGAGAATTAAAATCTAAAAATTCTGGCATTGCATTACTCGAGCTTAACACGATAGGAATATGCAAGATTTTGCACTGGTTTATTTTGCTACGTGTACAACATGTGAAATAACAACGAGAATTTTCAAAGAATATTTTCGCGTTTTTTACCCGTGTTGTACACAGGAGGAATCTTCAAGATTGTGAAAAGTAGATTTACCACGAGTAAAACACAAGGAGGGTACGTGAATTAATCACGTGAATTATCAACCAGTTCTCCATAATGCTAATCTCGTTGAAAACCTGTGTTTTGTTTGTTGGGGTAGCATGATTAGCTTAATTACGTGATATATAATGACGTACATCTTAATTACGCTTATTTTAACTGTGCTGTAAATACGTAATATGATTGTATTAATCATTATAGATAACGATGTAGGAATTTTAATTACATCGATTAACTTTAACTTGAAACATATAAACCCCAGATACACTAGTTGATATAGAGACTCAGCTTTGATTACTGCGAGAGAGTAATCCTGTCCTTGTTCTAAACAAATAAGTTGAAGATCGTCCCCATTGGGTTGGCATTGATAGTTGCACGCTGGTGTCCATGCTGACATTGATAGCTGATCGTGCCCAATGGTTTGGCATTGATCGATTTAGTGCTTGCGTCCCTATAGAGACATTGATAGCTGATTGCACCCATTTATGCAAAGATGGCATAGCCCAATTTACAATGGTACCCTAAAAAGCTTTGCCTAATCAAAAATGAATTAGATATTACATGTTTTGTTCATTTTCATTGTGGTTTCTCTGCTTAAGCTATTTGCTATTTCTAGCTTATTAGAAACAAAGAAGAAATTCACAGAAATAAACACCTTTGACTTTTTTATTTAAAAACGACGTTATCTTTCACATTGTTGATCTTATTAAGGTTTAAAGGGGACCGTTGTAAACCTGGTATTGAGATCTTAGCATTGAGGGTTACAAGAAATTACGCTCACAATCTCTTGAAACCATTTATTTTCAACAATAATGAGCTGGGTTTGTGTGCAAATTAAAAATAAATGTAAATTATAAGTGTAGATCTTCTGAAGTCTACCACATTTTTTATATTTAAGACAAATTAAGAGTTGAAGAAATTTATGTTCAATTTTTAAAATTTTAATCAGCCCTTTTCCTTATATACAAACAACCTAAGATATTGAACGTAAATATGAATTATTAAGAAAACGTAAGCCTACCTTCATGTTGATGAAGGTTGTAATAATACTGTGAACTGAACCTGGATTCCACCGGACCCGACATCTTATATCAGCGCGCACCCATTTTATATCTTTAATCTCCGCGCATCCATATTACGTAGAACTAGAAACTTAAATCTGGTGCAGGGATGTATATTGAAATATTTTCTTAAATAGCAAAATATCGTCGCCATGGTCCAAACAAAAATCTGGCATTTTAAACAAAAACAATTTCAAGGCAATATGTCCGTCCTTGTTTTTAGAAAGGCTCATCTTGCTTTAAACCGTTATTAACATTCCAGGATCGATGGTTATGGAGGGGGTGTCACGATTCAAATCCCATATTTTACATTTTTTATTGGATTTAGAAGTGTTAGATTTCGATCCCGATGGTATCTGTTCAGACTCAGGGTGAAGATAGGAACACAATACTACACTCTTCCCACTTCAGTGCCAAGATAAAATTTTATTGACACCATTTAGTTCATTCAAACGAAGCTTTCTTTCCTCACAGTCTTCCATAGTAGAGGGTGTCCCAATAAACATAAGAATTAAGGAATTCCGATGAGAGTTCTACGTATTATTTATAGCTAAGCTTCTTAATTTTTTTTAAAGTATAGGACTTCAACAATAATAATACCAGATAATAGGAAACTTTGAGTTGTAAATACAACATTCTGACTGTAGAAAAGTATTCCCATGTTTATTGCAACACCCTGTGTGAATGCAGACTGAAACTTTATATTTCAGAAGAGCCCAATGAACCCGAACCTTTCTTCATGTTGGAGAAAAGAAAACAATGTGATTAGGGCTGGGCGCTTAAAAAAGGAATTTAATTGACGAAAGAAATTTGAACGATCGTAAATGAACGAACAAATGAACGATCGTAAATGAACGAACGGATGAACGAATGAAAAAATGAACGAACTTTAAAAAATCCGTCGTTTAATGAGAGGAATCTGGACGTTAATCATAATCATAGCAGACGCGGCTTCAAATTCCATGTGGGGGGGGGGACCGGATAAAAAACTTAACCACGGTAAAAGATTAAACACTTTACATTTGCATTTTTTCCTCCTTCTCTTTTTCTAAATTACTTGGTGCTTTGTTTTTTGTGATAAAATAAGATATATGTTAATTTCATAAAATAAAATACTAAATGTATGTACTTATTTTAGCCAAAATACATACAGGGTGTCCCACGAAACAAGACAGTTGGTGAATAGTTTAGACTGTCTTCTTCCATAATTTGATACCAAAGAAAATAATAAAATATTATACATAATATTATACATATTATAGTAAAATTGATTTGAGTAAAAGATTTTGTTAACGAAATAAACTGCAAAAAGCCTTTTATATCAAAATACAGTATATGTAAGACGACATTCAAAACTATTTATTAACTGTCATGTTTCGTGGGACACTCTGTAACTATCTAAAATATTTGACAATTAATCTGCAGGGGCCCGTTAAGTAAAAAGTAAGAACAGCCTCAGCCCTAGCGATGATAGCGATGATTATATCTAAGCTAATGTAGGAGGAAAAGTGAAAACCCGAAATTTTGATAAATCTAGATAATTCCAGTTTTAAATTACGAAACCTATAGGGTGTCCCATAAAAGTTTTTGGATACTTCAGATATAATTATTTTACATTTTTTTTAACCTTCACAATCTTTATATAACCTTTCTCCGATTGACACCATTTAGGTGTTAGTAGGATTGTGGGACTATACTGAGAAAAATACAAGTACAGGGTGTCCCAATAAAAATGGGAATTCAGTGACAAATTCGATATCGTCTTTATAATAAATTCTTTGATTTAGTATAGTGATACCTACCGAGAAAGCTGTAATCTGTAAGAGTTTCGTCTGCTATGTTTACAATTTGTTTGTTTATATTTTTACTGCATAAGGGTGTACTTAGTAAAACAAGAAAATTGCTGTATACAAACAGAGTAAACTTGTCCGTCTTCACTGTTCATCTTGCGGAGACATTTTAAAGTATAAACACATCTTTATAGTCTTTTACCCTTTTCATGAAATAAACTCTAGGCAGACATAATAATCGTATGGCTTTTGAAATTATGTATTACAATGCTAATTCATAACAAAGCCGATATCCGATTCGTCACTGAATTCCCATGTTTTTTGGGACACCCTGTAGTTTGAGGTTTTCAAGCACATGTTTTTTTCTCCATTAAATGATTTATTTGAAAATTTTCAACCACATTCTATAATCGATTTGCTCATTGAGGGAGAGGGTGCAGAGGCGCCATGATCCCCGCAAAAATGATCTCCGAACCTCAGGATTTACAGTTTTGCGGGGCCTGGAGGTAATTCTGCAAATCCTGAGGTTCGGAGATCATTTTTGCGGGGATCATGGCGCCTCTGCACCCCCTCCCTAGCTCATTAGTCATTAAATAAAATTGAAAAATAACATATAAAATAATTCTTTAGTTTTTTGCTTGGAAGAGATGGGGTACTTTTGTGGCTCGAGGAAAAAATCCGCAATTTTTTTTTCCTTTTAATTTTAAAAACAAGTATAAGCATGCAATATTTATTAAATTCTAAAATTTCATCAACATAGATGCACAGAAATGGAGAAAATCGGCAAAATTGTATTTACAGTGATAACCAGAAAACTCAAGTTATAACTTTGATTTAAGTGTTTGCTTTGTAACAACATTTAAGTATTGCATTTAGGGTTTCCATTCGCAAAACTTTTGCGCAATTTTTGCGGAACGAAACGCAATATTTTTCTTTCTTTGCGCATCAATTTTGCGCGAAAAAACAACAATTTGCGCAATCATTCGCAAAAGTCATTTCGCGCAAAATTGCCCTATTCCGCTTTTGCGAAACTCAAGTTTTGCGCAATTCCGTAACAAGAGTTTTGCGCAAATCCGCAATTTCGTAAAAATCAAACGGTTGGTGACGGTGTGTGTTTCTTAGAATTCAATTCTGGAAAAATCTTGTTTTGGAATGTCTTCCTATTGGTCACTTTTACATAATTGACCAATGACAATTAAGAAGAGTTCAAATCTCACAATTTTCTCGACAATTTTAGTTTTGGACATGCATATTTCCTAAAAGTGGATTCTTCAGGCATTGGTTACAGTCTTGCATTATTTTATATGAGATTAAAAAGATTTCAGAAATTTGATTAAAAAAATTTAAGAATACAATTCATACTCATGATTAAGCAAAGCTTTTAAGGCCAGGTCACTTGAAATTATTCAATAGGCTTAAAATATTGCCAAGTTTCAAACTCTCTAATTTCTATTTTATTAATTTTGGTCCCTTAATTTAAACTTTTTGTAACTGGAAGTATAATCGTTATCATACTTGTATGTTAATATTTTTTTTGTATATGGAATAATCTTCAGTTGTTTAATTCTAAGCTTAGAATATCAATTTTTGACAATGTGCCTAAAAAGTTACATTTTGCGTAAAACTTGCGGTTTTGCGCAAAAACTTGCGGTTTTGCGCAAATTGCGCAAAACTAAATTTTCGTTTCATGCGCAACTTTCGCAAAAAATATTTCCGGTTTTGCGCAAATTGCGCAAAATAAATAGCGCAAAACCGCGCAAAACTCATTGCGTTTCATGCGCAAAAATAGCGCAAAAGTTCGCAAAAATAAAATTTGCGCGAACAAAAGATTTAGCCATTTCGTGGAAACCCTAATTGCATTTAAGTATTGCTATAAAGTCGTCTTCCAGTTTCTGGCTTTCACTTTCTTGGTTCTACTGTAATTGTTTAAGCAAGGATATGAATTCAAGGGACCGTTGTTAATCAGCTGATGCCTGGTGAACAACGATGTCCTCTATCTGAGAATTAGAGCGGTGAAATGTCTGCAGAAGAATGGAGATATTTTTTATTTGATCCACCTTGAATTAGTTTTAAATTTAAACTGTCAAGTAAAAGAAAAATGATATTAACTATCATGAATATTATTGTTTCATAATTTCAGGACAATGTTCAATGTCCCTCAAAACATAAAACCAGTTTTTGGTATATGTGATGTTTGTTACTGTTCCAAATTAAAGAATATTTACCAACTTTTTTAACCGGAAACTTCCACCGAAATAAATCAACCTCCCCCCCCTCCCCCATTTATCTGTGTGTCTTTCTGGGACATGGTTTTTAATTGCTGAAATTGGGACACTTTTCAAAGAAAGATTTACCTTCTTAAACCCTGATCTTCTATTGAAACTAGACACTGCATCTGATCTGGGTGTTATTATAAACGATTTATCAAATGCCAGAAACAAATTATTTACTAGTTTGCAGAGGGGAGGATGGCAGATTTATTTAATAGTTTGCGGAGGGGAGGATGGCAGATTTATTTTCTAGTTTGCAGAGAGGAGGATGGCAGATTTAATTACTAGTTTGAAGAGGGGAGGATGGCAGATTTAATTACTAGTTTGAAGAGGGGAGGATGGCAGATTTATTTAATAGTTTGCAGAGAGGAGGATGGCAGATCTATTAACTAGTTTGCAGAGGGGAGGGTGGTAGATTTATTTAATAGTTTGCGAAGGGGAGCATGGCAGATTTATTTGATAGTTTGCAGAGGGAAGGATGGTAGATTTATTTGATAGTTTCCAGAGGGGAGGATGGTAGATTTATTTACTAGTTTGAAGAGGGGAGGATGGCAAATTTATTTAATAGTTTGTAGAGGGGAGGGTGGTTGATTTATTTACTAGAAATTAATATGAAATTTAAAACAGCTCTCCTAATTTACGAATTAATGATTCTTTTATCCTTGACGTGCAAAACACAATTGGAATATTCTAAATAAAAAGTTTCTTTGTCTGTCTGTTTGTTTTTTGTATCCAATAAGCGTGAAAACGGCAGGATCAATGAGACCCAATTTTTTGTTGGACCTCACATGGCCCCAGAGAAGGTCTAATCATGGTGAGAATATAAAAAGTATTTCCCTCAAAAAAGTTTTAATAAATGTGAACTATTTTAAATCCCCAAATTAAAAGAGACTTTTTTTTGTTATTGTTTAATGATGTAAAAAGAGAAAATGCTTACAAATAAAAACACTTAAAACTTGATAAAGCTAAAAATGGGGGTAAAAGTAAAATTTTGGAAAAAAATAGT